CCCTCCCCTCCCGCGCTAGCCTAAGGGCCACCTTAGCAAAGCGCATCCCAGGCTGCATAGCCGCACTACCCTACCCAACCATACCACACATAAACATGACACTACCCCCGGGGTTTACACAGACGAGCCGGCGAAGCAAGAAGAGCGCCAGAAGAAAGGGCCCTAGCCGGCGGGGCCCAGCCAGGACAAAAGGAGGTCCCACAAAGCGCCTACACCGGCCGCATTTGCGGTCGGGGTAGACGACGGATGGGGCCCACCTACGAAAGCTGTCCAGGCCTACACGAGATGAGGCAGGATAAAGAGGGATAATCCCCCTCGATCCCAAATCATTGAGGCCAATTTCTAGCCATAGAATAATGGCTCGGTGCATTGAGGCCAATTTCTAGCCATGGAATATGGATCGATTTCGATTTCATATCATAATGTAGGCTTCATTATCCATTATCTAAGGTTGGCTATTATAATTTTCAGAATGGGGGTGTATGTAACTAACTTCTCTTTTTAATATCAGAATTTGGAGTGACGTCAATTGTATTGATATTTTCTTAAATAAGTGCTTTTTAAACTACAAAACTTCTCGATGATTTTTCCTTAGGGTAAGTTTTAATAAGGGAATATTTATAATTTTTAATTATTATGATCGCAATGTTACTTTTCTAATATGAGGTTATCTAGGACTGCAAATTGGTACCAATTATGCCTGTTATGAATCTTTTATGTTAATTTATATATTAAGAAACATTTTATTAATATTTTCTTAAGACTTGACCTCATTATTATATCGAAGGGATTTCATACTAAGAAAACTAACTATAGTGGGCTGCTAGGCAGTCCATAAGTAATACCTTTTTTAAACAGTGATCTTGAAATGTTCTATTTATCCTGTCTTGTGTTTAATTCTACGATACTATAAGTATGTACTACTTACACATAAAAATGAATTTAGATTCTAGTTAGAAAATGTTTATTTTCCTGGACTAGGTGTTTTTTTTTTTTTTTATGAAAAATCTCTTAACTAGGTATAATCAGGTAGCATGACAAAAATAATTATCGGAGAAAAGTTTGTATTTAGACATTTTAGGTTTATCTAAAGCGAAGATGAAACAGTGTTGAATTAATTAATATACAATTTTGATTTTAATTTTATATTTTATTACTGATATTTAAGTTATCTTAGTTAAGTTATCGTGAGTTGATAGTCATTCTAAATTCTAATTGTGTCTATTATTTTTCTTCTCAAATTTTTTTAAGGTTTGAAATGTACTTGTATGTATTTTGATTTTCATATTTTCTTTTCTTCAAATTTGAAATGATGTAGTTATAATTATTACCAATATAATATATCATTGCACTTTGACCTCTAGACTTCAGTTTTGTAAACAATAAAAATGTTCTTTTATTGACGTCAATATTTTTTGGTTTTACATTAACATAATGATTATTTTATTTTTTAAGATTGTAGAATAGCTCCGAGATCAGCACAATGATTGGAGGACTTTTCGTCTACAATCACAAAGGTGAGGTGCTGATTTCACGAGTATATAGAGATGACATTGGTAGAAATGCTGTTGACGCATTTCGAGTTAATGTCATCCACGCCCGCCAGCAAGTACGATCCCCTGTTACCAACATAGCAAGAACATCATTCTTTCACATAAAAGTGAGTAAAAGTAATATAATATACGCTATAAGTACCTGCATTTTAATTTTTATAGAGGGCCAATATTTGGATTGCTGCTGTAACCAAGCAAAATGTCAACGCAGCAATGGTATTTGAATTTCTCCTCAAAATCATTGAAGTAATGCAGTCTTACTTTGGAAAAATATCAGAGGAGAATATCAAGAATAATTTTGTTCTAATTTATGAATTGCTTGATGGTAATGCTTCATATATTTATTTTTAACTTAACTTAACAGTGTACGTTTCAGAAATTTTGGATTTCGGCTATCCTCAGAATACTGATACTGGAGTATTAAAAACTTTTATTACTCAGCAGGGGATTAAATCTGCAACAAAAGAAGAACAAGCGCAAATTACATCTCAAGTAACTGGTCAAATAGGATGGAGGCGGGAAGGTATTAAATACCGTCGTAATGAATTGTTTTTGGACGTGTTGGAGTATGTAAATCTGTTGATGTCTCCTCAAGGTATTTATTTATTTTTGATACTCAATTTTATTTTTTAACACATCTAATTCTTTCCAAAGAAAAAATTCTTACATGTCAGTATTAAGTAGTAAAATAATAGTATGTATAAGATAATGTTAACTAAAACAGTGCAAATATTGTATCAGCTGTATATTTAAATTTAAGTTTTTATAGAGAATTCTTGAAATAAATATTGTTAATGTTAAGTAGATATATTCTACACTTCACAGTGAACTAAAATATTTTTAGTAAATATGACAGATATGGGGGAGTGGAGAAAATTTAATGACTTATTTAAATTTAATTATATTCGTTAAATTTTCCATTTAGTGATTGTAAAATGATTTGTTTTAATTAATTTATTATCAGGTCAAGTGCTTTCTGCTCACGTTGCTGGGAAAGTTGTGATGAAATCATACCTTTCTGGTATGCCAGAGTGCAAATTTGGCATAAATGATAAAATTGTAATGGAAGCCAAGGGCAAGGGAAGCTTGGGTACAGCTTCTGATTCTGATCCTGCTAGATCTGGTAAACCGGTTGTTGTTATCGATGACTGCCAATTTCATCAATGCGTAAAATTAAGCAAATTTGAAACTGAACATTCCATTAGCTTTATACCACCTGATGGAGAATTTGAACTCATGAGGTATGTTATCTTTCTCATTATTTATTTAAATTTTCTATTAATCAATGCAACAAAACACATTCTGTTTCACTGGCTGTGATTAGTATAATTTTTTTGAGATTCTATTCAACTATTCAGCGATCCCATTATCTCGAGCGTAGACGTAGTGGATTGTCATTGCTCATTGTAAACGAATTAATAATTTTGGTGACGCCAAGATTTAAGGAATTTTTGTTGCCAGTACCAATCGTACGATGTTGGGCTGCCAAAGCTCAGCGGTCATGTGGCCTGTAAACATTTATGAAGGCTCTGTATTAACTGTATGTGGATGGACATACATTACTAGTCGCAAATAAAACAAATTTTTATTTTAAAATAATTACTTTTGCTGTTGCTGTTTTATAAAATCTGATAGATTTAAAATATTTTTTAAATTTATTTTAGTTTTCAATTTATCAGTTTACAAAAAAGTGTTTGTAATACGATATGTAATTCCGCGACTTCCTGTGTGAAATATTAGTATTTTGGGACAGAAACACACTTGTTAAATTTCTGTGATATAAAACAAAAAACATGTCGGTATAAAGAATGATGAGATTTGACAACAATGGGCTAGTGCACTCGGTTAGAAGTTACACTAGCCTGTCCAGTGGTGGAGTATGAAAATTTCTAAAAAAAGATGACAGGCTGAAAAAACAAACTAACGTGTTTCTAAAGGTCAAGGCATAAACACTATCTCCATTTACAGTTACACTTTGGATCGTTCTTTGAACATAGGGTATAAAATTCTTGAGATAAACGTTGCAGGGGCTTAAATACAACAAAAATAATTAATATGGAGTGTGACAAATAGCTTAAATATGTACTTTAGTTATAGAATTATACACATTTTGTATCTTATTTTATTTTATGCAACATTTGATAGTTAAATTTACAGTGCAGTATGGTTAATACAACTCCACTTTTAAGGGATAACACCATTGTAAATTTCTAAAATAGTGTTTGTTTAGTATTTTTTTTTTTAATGAAAGGAAAAGAGGAAATTAATTTTCAAGGATGTTATTAAACTGTCTTTAAGTGTTCAAAAAATATATAGGGTGTATCTAAATAACACCGAAAAAAAGTAAGGGGCGATTCTCTGATGAAAATTAACATTATTAGGAGTTTGGAAATACTGATTTTTTTGTGAGAGTGTGACAAACACAGGACGTCATGCAGGCAGGGGAAAATCTATTTCTGGATGTGTAATTAACGATATTTTTCATTATACTTCTTTGAAAATGAAAATGTACAAACAAAATATGACAAAAAAAACATACGAAAAAAACTTGAAACATTTTTATTTTCATTACAGTTATAGGGATAAAAAAAACATGTAGAGCAAGAATACTGAAAATTAACTAACTGTAACTAACTAATTCTTAATAATAACAGCTAATAATGCTTTGTTTGAGTTATTATTAACGGTTATGTTTATTGTGCAATTCGTATTATTGCACAGGTTTAGTCCTTATGGAGTTTCATTTTGTGAAACTGCAGTTATTGAAGCAGACTTTTCGCAAATGTTTTGATTTTCTCAAACGAATGTTACAGTTGTTGTATTTTGCGTGTGAGAACAGTTTTTGTGATACCTCAATTTTTCTGCTACATTGGAAGAATGCCATCTTCTAAGCCTTTTTCAGAGTGAGTAAATCAGTGCCACTTTCCACTAACATGGTTGCTGAAGAACATCTTAGTCTATGCCCAGTATATTTTCTGAGATCTTATAGTTTTAGGTATTTTGCAACAATTTTTGGAACACCACTTTTTCAACAGTAAACTGAAAGAAAATCGTCGCTTACAGTTTTGATGTTCAGATTTCACATTCACTAAAAAGTTTATATTCGTGTTCATATCTTGACCTAGATTTTACTGGTAATAAATTCGCATTTGCTTGTGCCGCTTGCTGTAGGACGTTATCGGGAATTTCGGGATTTTCTTCCGAGTATATTTTATCCATAGAAAATACACAACGCTGACAATACAGTGGTGTTTGGGATGCTTTTCCATGGTTACACTCAAATTATTTCAAAGGTGATTTGTTGTATATTAGGTGAACAAAACGTAAAAAATATTACAGAAATGTATCTAAATATTCAAACATATTTACGAATTAAAATACAAAATACATGTTAAATATCAGGTAGCATATAGACTTTTTTAAATTTAGTTTACTTTGCAGTATATTTCTATTTTAAAACCATATATTCGGTATTTTTATTTAGCGCACCGAAAGAATCGGGAAAACTTTTTCCGTGCGCTGTTTCCATGCACTAGCCCGAAAAAGCTCATATTTCATTATTATTATTATTATTATTATTATTATTATTATTAATAATATTATTATTATTAATACAGATGAAAATAAGGTGTTTTCGAAGAAGTATAATAATTATTTTTCTCCTTATTGTAGAAGGTTTAAAGCATCTTTATAAATTAAAAAATTGATTTTCTGAAAATTATGGTCTTACCTTTTAATAGCTGGCATTGTGACATATGTCCATCCCTAAAGCACGTATTAGACAATGCAATTTTGTTGTAGGGATTTGATTGCCACGATAGAATCCATGAAATTTTTCTTATCAGACTGTAATTCTGTCGCGGCAACTGAATTGCATGAATTAGAACATGCTCTATTCCGTGCAACAAAATTTCAGGGATTCTAGTTACTTTTATGGAGATTTGTTTGTTGCCAACCTAGCTGTTTTGTTGGCCGGTGGTCATGGCTGTTGTTAGTAACACCGTTGAAGGCACTATAAAAGCTATACAACAATTTACTTTCAAATATTTATCCATTGCAATGTTTTTTTACTTGAATAAAAAATAATTGTTTACAAGATATTTACAAGAAATTTTACTAGTTAAACAATGCACAGTTGCTAACACTACTGCAAACTAAACAAATTGCAGCAATTCTATCCATGGTGTGATAATAAGCATGCAATTTTATCCCCGCAATTTTGTCGTCGCAACTAAATTGCATGCATCTGATACAGGCTTAAGATTGGCTTCATATAGTTTATACATAATTTAGACTAATCATTCACAGTTGCCTGAGGTGGCACAGATGGTTTTATAGTGTGAAATTAGAATCTGTTCGATTGTTTGTTATTCTAAATTATTCTAAACTTTAAAACTTTTTAATAATATATTGCAGAAAATTTGGAAAAAATCAGGATTTAAGGAAAATTTCTGCTATTTTTCAAATTTTCTATTTTGCCAATAAATGGTATACCATCAATTTTTACATTATGTTGTGTTAAATTACGATTTACGATAAATTTTACGATTTTATTTTGAATAAAATACAGTATATGTACTAAATAGAAACTGAAAGAAACATAAACAATCTTGGTATTATTACCAGTACCTCTTTCCATAAAAATATTTGTCACAATCGGTATAAGCTTGCCCGCAAAAATTCGCCTTACCAATTGCAATAACCGAGTCAGTAATGCGCATGGTAGCGAATATATACGGTTTGAGCAGCCTGATCCAATTTAACTATTCATGCGAATTAATCCGTCTGGAGCAGTTTGAGCCCTATACATTTTTAGCGAATATATACGTCTGGAGCAGTGAAAGGGTTAAAACCTAAGAAAAGTTCATTGCATAATATGCACATACAAAGTTTCATTTGCTGTTGTATTGCTAAACAGAAGGATGCCAAACATTTTTAGCATTTTTTATATTTTTTTATGATCTTGAAGAATGTACAATTAAGAATATGTCTCCAATGTTTAATTTTCTTAAGTACTACATATATTATTAGAAAGTTTTCCAAATATTTTAGATATCGCACCACAAAGGACATATCACTGCCATTTAGAGTGATTCCATTAGTACGTGAGGTGGGACGTACCAAGATGGAAGTAAAGGTTGTCCTAAAGAGTAACTTCAAACCATCACTGCTCGGTCAAAAAATCGAAGTTAAAATCCCAACTCCATTAAATACCTCAGGTGTTCAGTTGATCTGCTTAAAAGGAAAAGCAAAATACAAGGCATCCGAAAACGCAATTGTTTGGAAGTAAGTAAAAAAATCTCTCTTAGGTTTTCCATTTATTGGCATATATTTATTCTTAGAATAAAAAGGATGGCCGGTATGAAAGAGACGCAACTCTCTGCCGAAATAGAGTTGCTTGAAACTGATACTAAGAAGAAATGGACTCGTCCACCAATATCAATGAACTTTGAGGTACCATTCGCTCCCTCAGGATTCAAGGTTCGCTACCTGAAAGTGTTCGAACCAAAACTAAATTACTCCGACCACGATGTTATTAAATGGGTACGTTATATCGGAAGAAGTGGGCTTTATGAAACAAGATGTTAGATGAATATGGATAGTGTTATTGGATTGATATTATCCCTTCAAGGATTCAAGGATGTTTTATGGATGATTTATTAAAATAAAATTAGAGGACAGTTGTGTATCCGAATAGCCACAAAACGGCAAATCTATATAATTTTTAAGTGTATTGTAATTAAATGGTGTAGAGATGTATACCGTATTGTTAGTCCCTTATTATAAATAAATTATAAATAAATGTATGAACAATTATTATAAAAACACGATTTTCATCAGACTGGTCTACGGACATTTATTGCAGATAAATCTAATGAATAAAATGAACTAAATAAAAAATCAATTGAAAATCACTTATCTTTTATGACATATTACCAAAATACCATTTAGTGGTTAAAACAAAATTATATGATGGAAAAGCACGAAGTATAAAAATACAATAAGTAACTATAATAAATACTAAAAAACAAAAAAAAAATATAAGAATTTTGAATTTACAGGGAGACCACTTTAAATACAGAAACTGCAGGACTAGATTCATTACGAAAAAATAAGTAGTTTACTCTATAAACCTTTTTTCCTGCGGGACTCAGTATTTGAGATATAGGGTGTTAAAGTTTACCAAAATATACAGTTCAAAAAACTTGACAGGCCAACTTTTTTATTTGAAGTGATAGACTAGTACTTCCAAATGCAAAGTTGTGGGAAATAACTTGACTAAGAAAAATTTACAAATAATTCTTTTCAGTGTTGCCAGATTTCTGCAGCAGCCACTAAAACATTTTTTTTTGGCAACACCGATTTTTTTTCCCATAATTTGACAAACCTTCAAATTCTAAATAGAAAATGTTATGTTACATTTCTTTATTGGAGTAGCAGTTTTTGAACAATCGGCAAAAACAACGAAAATAATCTGCAGTCATATTCAGGGTTGCTTATATTTTATATCTCAAATAACCCTCAGTTGATGTTTTTGTTTGATACTTAATTTGATAAGTGTTTAATTTGTTAAAAAAAATATTAACAAATAGAAAAATTAGTTACGTAATAAAGGAGATATGAAGCTAGGTATCGACTTTGGGAGTTGTATGAAGATCCGCCTTGTTAAAATACCTGCCTTGATACCGAAAACAGGTATCCATTTTATGAGGGACATCACAAGGCTGTTTGAAATAGACTTTTAATAAATTTGTTGAAACATATGGGATGGATTGACTCCTCAATAAGAAAATATAATATAGAGGGTGTTCTATTCAAAAATGTAATTTTGACAATTATCTGGAGAACACAATTTTCTTTTCTTCTTTTTTCATTCTTTCTTTTCTTTTCATTTAGTGCATTTTAAATGGCAGAAAAATCAGTGTAATTTAACTGCCATCAATAATTTTCAAGGTACAGGGTGATTCATTGATATATTTTGACCCCCCATTAATTTTTTTGTTTTGTGTTATAAAAAAATGTGAAATACAAAAGTTGCACTATTTCTTACGAAGATTTCTAAAATACATATAGTAAGTTATTCCCCATACTCGATTTTAATTCCTAATATCTCAATTTTCTGCTTCTGTGTAACCCCATTTTAATTAAATAATAATACAAACTGTCAATCAATAACAATGTTATCATGACATTACTACCTGTCACTGTCACGGCCTACGATATATGACATTGTCCACAAGTAATTAGGCCTCTCACGGCCTCATTAGTGAGATTTAGTTAGAATACCTATACGCACTTTGGACTATATCAATGTCCGATATGTCAAAATATTGCAATTAAATCTGTAATTGCAAAAAAAGCAGAAATGCCTGAAAGAGGACTAACAATTATAAAATGTCTTATTTTCTTAATAAAAGACCTTTTAGTTTTTTAATATTATCTCGCTTATTGTTAGAGTTGGACGAAACAAACCCTACATGACTATACTAGACAGGGAACGTTCTATCCATATATATAAAAATATACAGGGTGTTCCATTTAAATCAACAAAGTTAAGATCCGCGGGTATTTTGTTTGGACTTCATTAGTTTTTCTATCATTTTTGAAAACTTCATAAAAAATCGTGTAACTTTTGTATTTCACAGTTTTTTATCTCTTGAAACAACAAAGTTAAAGGGGGGGTCAAAATATAGTGAATCACCCTGTACAGAGTGTAAAAAAATCACCTTTTGTAAAATATGTTTGAAGATATGTAGATGTATAGTGATGAAATTCAAGCTAATGATTTATCTAATTAAAGGTGAAAATTCAATGGATTCAGATACAAATGACCATATTATAGAGATACTGGGAGTCACTTTTACTGTACAGGGTTTGTAGCGACTTGGAAAACCGGGAAAAGTCAGGGAATTCATTATTCTTCATAAAAAACAAGGAATAGTCAGGGAATGTTAAAAGTATTCAAGTATTATGCTTGCAACTGGCAATTTTGTGAATACCGGTCCTGGGTTCTTGAAAGAGAAAACTATTTATGGTTTTGAAACCTTTATAAGAGGTTCTTTGGGTATAAAAAAGATTATGGAGTCCAGTCTAGAGTAATTCTAATGCATAAACACCAATTTAGTGTGCAAAAATGAACTACAGCGACCTGTTTTTTTTTTTGTCAGGGAATTCTATATTTCTTTTGAACTATGAACGCTGTGTAAGTCCAAGAAATTCAACACCACTGAACATGGACGTAGAAAGGGGGGGGCACGATATATCATTATTGGCTCCCAGTTTCATTATCTCCTGTAGATTCTCCGTCAAAAATACCATACTAAATGAAGTTTTATTTCGTGTATGTATCCCATCTGTGTGCATCTAGGGCAGCTCCTCATAGTAACGGCAGACAACGAAGTCAACCCGTTATCCGGCTGAATCCCTAGATCCTGGATCATGACTGGGAATGGCTACGCGAAATAGCTTCATTTGGCATATTTTTTAAATTGATGGAGAATTTACTAGAAATGATGAAACTGGGAGCCAATAACGATATAAACTATGTTCCTTCCTTCAAACAATCAAACTATTGCATAACGTGATTATTGGAGTTATGAGGTAAGTTTATGGGGTTGATTAGGATTCAGTGAGATTCAAATTGCTCTCACTTTCATTCTCCTGCAATATATGCAACTATCCTTCTCAATTTGTCTATTTTAAATAATGACATAACAATAATTCCTCTTGTTGAGACATAGGCTATATGTTATTTAAAATTTTTGGAATCACTATCAAAAGTAAACAGTTTTCTTATACAATTCTACACAATTATTTTTGTAAATAATACATAGTAATCGTCAAGTAATGGCTTTTAATGAAAAATATTGCAATTTATACAATTGATACAAATAAATACTAGTTGGTAGTCTCACTTAAATGAAATCATTACTCATAATTGAAAACATTTATATTTAATGTAAATTATACTAAAATCTTTTACTTTTAAATTCCTTACAAATATAGAGTTAACAAAGGTATATATGTACTAATAAAATTAACGGGAATGAGCAAATATAGTTGGTAATAAACAAAACAGAAAAAATAAATCTGAAGCGAGTTTAATCAGTGACACATTGAGTATTGGGCAAAACAGACATTTGAATGAAGCTCTCACCAATAGTAAGTTTGAAAGTTAGCACTTTTTATAATTAATATTAGTAGGGGCCGAAAATTCTTCAGAATGAAGAGTACCCTCTGCAAAGTTAGTATTATTAGAATTTTACAAAATGAACAACAGAAACATTTTTTAATGAGTAATAAATAAACATTTTGAATTTGCTCATGACACTACAATGTGCCACATGCCACCGACTTTAATTGAAATATAAATTACATACCTACTACATATTTTCAAGTAATTAAACTTCAGAGCAGTTTTTATTTTAAATTTCACATCTATTTTATTAAGATCTACCACTGAAAAAATGTTTTCTTCTTTAAGATTTGTAGCTACTTCTATTACTATCGTCTTAACACATAATGTCTATCTTAAAGAACTTTTTCTACATAATTATTATTGCTGTAATATTTTTACATTATGGTTGCATTTGTCAGCTTAATTTTGTAATTTGTCTCAAGATGTAACTTACTTTGATAAGGACTAAATTTTATGTATGTAGGTAGGTACCTATATCTAGTCACTAAATTCTTGTTCAACATTAAATTCAAACTATTAAATCAAGAAAGGTGTCCTGTGGGGCGCAGACAATATGTCTTCCCCTCTTCCCTTAGATTCTATATTCTACACCCAAAGGTCTCGTAAAATAAAAAAAATATATTTTCTTAATTCTATTTTTGGTCAATGTCTATATTTACTCTTGTCTTCATAATATAGGGAGTCATAATTTGGTATAGAAAATTTAACCCAAGCTACCCAAGACTAAATCAGAGTAAATGAGAAAATATACCTCTGTATCAAAATACATCCTTAAATAAAAAGTTATGGGCCCATAAAGAATAATTTTTTTAATTTAATTCTTTTGTGAAGCAACTTTTTAAGTGCATTATTGTTAAAAATTTAAACAAAATATTTCTTTGATGCATAAAATTTTAAGAAAAGTCCATAACTTCGTGGATAATTTTAAAAAAAGAAGGCATAATAAAGCAGGGTTTTAGAACTACTTGTTTGCAAGACAAGATTATTGAAGCTTAAAGAGAAATATCATATTTATTCAAATATCTCTGAAGATGAAACTTGTGCCTATAATTTTCCTAACTAAAAGCAAACATTTATTGAATTGATTTAAAAATATGTCAATCAGTGACGGAGCACAGTAACATTATAAGGACCTCAGAGTTTCCACATCGAATATTTATCGAACCTAAACAAAAGAAAGTACCCTCCTTTCAAAAAGAGGCTATTTTGTTATTTTTTTATCACAGTATGATAAAACAGATAACTTTATAAATTTATATATCAGGAAAAAATGTATTGGAATTTTTTGATCAGACTATACTACAACTATCAAAGTTCAAAAAATCATTGCTGTAGACATTTTTAATTAATGAGGGAGCATGATTTCTACAGCAATAGAATTTTTGGAATTTTCTACATATTTTTTCTTTGTAAAACAAATAGCTTTGATATTTTAAAAATATTCAACTGTGCGATAAGTTTGGTTTAAATTTAAAAAAGTAAATAACCTGTATTTTTAAACAAGAATTTATTATTACTGTTGAATAAAATACTGTGGTAACATTTTTAACCCGAAATATGAAGAAATTCTTGATCCTATCTAGGATATTCTGCTCTATGCAATCAATTTCTTCAATAATAAACTGCACTGAATAATATGAAATTAAATAGACCTCTCAGAAATGCCGATAATAATAGTAGAATTATTAAAATATTGCTGTTACAATCTCAATAAATATAAAAGAATAGACTTAAATTTGCAAAAAATATAAAATGCCATACAACAAATGCTTTATGCTGCATAAATTACATAGTGTCAGGGACAGTGCCTCTCAGTATCTTCAGCAGTGGTTGACAGGTTTGTTGCAAATTGAGTGAATTTTTGCATTTAATTTAATTATTATATCATTGGCCCGAGTTTCATCAAACCAAGTCAAATATCTTCAGAATTTGGATAAATGTGATATTTGTTATAAACTTAACTTTGGTCTACAACGATCGAAGGAAATATCTTTTAAAGTTACGACTATAACATTCTTGTTACATCTTTAATAGCATACAGGATGGTCTATTAAATATGTTCCAATAGGGTTAAACAGTCTAGTTCTCAATATACGGGATGATTCAGTCATAATGTGATTAATTTTAACCAGGTATTCGGAAAGACAGAAAATAACCGTTAATTCGGCACTCAACTTCTCGACATGGAACCGGCAAACTTAAAGCGATCGAAGGTCGAAGCAAAACTGATTTTTTTACCATCATCTAGTATTTTGCAATTGGTTTCAAAATCAAAGTGCAGCAGACTCTAAAACTTTAATAACAAAGCTATGGACAAATGAGTGAATGTTTTTTTAGCCATAGTGTCAATTTAAATAGGAAGGTATCATACTCAATGAAATGCAATAAATCATACAATAAGGTATACATACTACAAACTGAATAATGAATTGAATATATGTACATAATACTAAAAACACATATTCAATTATAAAACGTAACAATTTTAAAAATACTAAATTGTATAACGTAACATTTGAAACCAATTATTATCCTTATACATTTGTTTTTATGAACAAATAAATAATAAATAATCGTTAATATTTAAAATGTAAAAATATCTTATTCATTCATGTGTCTAGATATAAAAGTGGTCTTTATAATATAATGACCGCATATAGGTCATTATAGTAGGTCAGTATCAGTAGGTAGGTAGGTCAAGATACACTTGTTAAATATTTGTGGGTTAACAATTAGGAGCTGTCCGAAAAGAGGTTTAAAAAATGACACGTTAAAAGACCCCCGCACTTTTCTTATGTAAAAGTGGTTTCAGTTAAATTGACTGAAATTTTTATATGTTACAGCTCATAACCTGTCAATCAAAAGTCTCCATTGCACAATATCCTAAAGTTCATAGTTTTAGAGTTACGTTGACTATAGAGCTATAACTCGGTATTCGAATGGGTAAAAATTTTATTTGATATTCTTTGTTGTTTGCATTTGCATTACCCAAGGTGTACCACGTGGAGGTTGCAAAATCGGTCCAACACCTCTTTGGGGTGGTCTTTTTACCGTGAGGTCCCTTTGCCTCTCACCATCGAGGTGTCTTTTTTACCGTGAGTTCCCCTTACTCACTAATCTTAAAACATCTAGATGCATGTATTTTATTTTCATGGATCCAATATCATCAATTTCTATGTTATTATATATGTTGAGACTATCATTAATATAGTTTAATATTGCGTCACTGGGGTAATGTATATTTTGTTGATATCGCGCAAAACCCAAATACCACAACACGCTGGCTACATGAGCACAACAACCTAATTGTTCTTGCACCAGTTTTACAAGTGCAATCATATCCGAGAATGGGCTCTTCGTTTACATCTGGTTCAGTAGCATAAGATACCCACAGCTCATGTTTCACTGCATTCCGGAAAAGTGAGTAAATTCTGATAAATACTTCTGTTCCTTCTATATCAAGCTTATCTTAAATGTAAGATGGAGCTAAACCAACCTGGTAAACACCAATGGTTATCGAGGTTGAATCTAGGAAATTTTTTAGCATGATTTTTCTTATGTTGGTTTCATATAACATTTCTTCTAAAGAGATTTTCGACTTCAACTAGAGTTTGAACTACGTTCACATCATTAATTCTTTGACGCAATTCTCTTGCTAATGGAACAGTAACATCCTGAATTATTAGCAATTCATAAAATCTATTAATTATTGCGCCAGCTATTTTGTAAAAATCTGCAAGATGGAGCATATGAGCTGTCTTAATAATACCAAAAAAGAAACTAAAAATTGATTTAATGCGCCTCTACTCTACGACCCTCCTAGATTTCGTAACAATTTGCGTTTCATTGGCACTTACACCCATAATATCATAAAACAACTAGTTTTTCAGTGTGAAGTCACATTACCAATATTAATATAACTACAATGATTTATTATTTTTTCAGTTGTCATGGAGAAAAATGACATATAGTACTTATGTATCTGCTAACATGAAAATTATTTAAGGTTCAAACCCAAACTGCGAGTAGTTCTTTCGACTGCAGATATCCGTTACAACTAACCTAGTTGTTGGCATAAAAACTTATTGGATTTCTGTAAATCGTAACAAAAAATTAAATATTTTATTTATTATTCTTTTATGCATGCATATTGTCTGTTTCATATTAATGTAGGCATTGATCAAATCAAGATTTAGAGTTAAACTCAACCATTTTCACACGTACAAGTAGTTTTTGAGCCACGTCAAAAAAGATATTTGGGTAATGCAAATGCAAACGGCAAAAAATATCAAATACCTAACATTTTTACCCCTTCGAATAGAGTTATTGCAATATTAAACTATATTAATGATAGTCTCAACAGATATAATATAGAAATTGATGAAATTGGATCCATGAAAATAAAATACATTCATCTAGACGTACTAAGATTAGTGAGAGGCAAGGGGAACTCACGGTAAAAAAGACACTCCGATGGTGGGAGGCAAAGGGACCTTACAGTAAAAAAGCCAGCCCAAAGAGGTGTTGGACCGATTTTGCAACCTCCACGTGGTACACCTTGGGTAATGCAAACGCAAAGAACAAAAAATATCAAATAAAATTTTGACCCCTTTGAATACAGAGTTATTGCTCTAAAGTCAACGTAACTCGAAAACTATGAACTTTAGGACATTGTGCCAATGGAGACTTTTGATCGACAGGTTAAGAGCTGTAACATATAAAAATTTCAGTGAATTTAACTGAAACCACTTTTACATAAGAAAAGTGCGGGGTCTTCTTTTTTCCACAAAATATGCATATTAAAATTTTTTTAATCACATATTCGTATTATACTCATTTTTCTCTTTCTTCCTTTAAAGCGAATGACACTATGACTGATTGGAGTTTTTGTAAAATGTCCTTTCCATATAAATATCTTGAAAGATTAATGAAATTTAATGATTTTGAATTAAAAATGAATCCCTTCTTTATACAAAAATAAATAATTGTTGTGTATTAATATTTAGCCTATGTTACACAGCTGACTAAATAAAAAAACTCGCCTATATAAAAAAAATTTTTGCTGCAGTGTAAAAAAAACCATTGGCGTAGAAATTTCAATATTTAGTAATAGCAAGGGACAAATAAACAGGTATTTGCAACTTTTCATAATTACATTTAAAATGCATTTACAACAAAAATTTTATTTTTTTTGTGAAATGGTGTAAATTTAATATTTTTCTTAAACTAAATTGTTTACGTCATAAGTTCATAAAATTTTTTTCCTTAAGAATCGTATTGTTTATTACTGGAATATAGTTAGTGATCACTCTTTATAGACAGATATATGTTAATTTTACTAAAGATTGTAAGGCAAGAGTAGGAGAGGACTTGTCATATTTATTAATTCTTATAACCACTTATAATTTAAACATAATAAAAATAAATCGAGAAGTACATTAACTCTTATAATTTCCATTCTCTGTTTTCAATTATTGATAATACATGTTTTAAAGAGAACTTATAATTCCATCGACATATTAAAATTTTTAATATTCGAGACAGGTTTAATAATTAACTGAAAATAATTATAAAAAAAAAAATATTTTCTTCATTATAAATATTCATCAAACACCACAATTGGTGTATGACAGACAATTAACTTTATATTACATACATTGCATATATATATTTTTGCATTCAATCCATCACACACACTTTTATGCCTCTGATTCACCAGGAGTATTATCTTCGTCTAAAATTGGTACAATAAGATTGTCCTTAGACATTAAATTATATTTGGTCACAAACTGAGTAAACCTCTTACACAAGCAGGTTTCATTTTCGAATTCATCAAATATTGATCTATGATGAAAATATGCATGAGAGAAAATTCGATACACTCTCCTGCACACTGAACCTAGTTTTGCTACTGAAGATTCTTTAATACTGACCCTGAAACGAGAAAATTTTATATAAATAAAAAAAAGAAACGTAAAAAGTACTAACCGACTAGGAAAATATTTATTGCTATTTAAAAGACATGCGGCCCCATCTAAGGTATGCCTTGTATAATCAATAGCTGGACATTCTTTAGGAGTTTTGTGAGCTGCACAAAGAAATATCCATTGTTCTGTTGCTGTCATTTGTGTACAAGTTTCTGGATGACATTCTCCTTGAAGTCTAACGGCCAATCCATTCAGTTCCATACAAAACTGTCTACAAAAACATATCAATTTCAAATTACTTTCTACTCATTAAAATTTGCTTACCTTAAGTGTTCATATTTCCATACGCCTTCATCTTGCGAATCAGGCATTTTCAATATCAAGTCGATATTATTCGGGTCTCTTCGTATAAGTTGTTGAATATACTGTTGCACAGCAAGTGTGCTATCCATTTCATCAAAAGGTTCATCTGGCCAACGACTAAAATCCTAAAACATTTTGTACAGAAACATACCTGTATGAATCTATTTAATATCTGTAATTGTGACAGAATTAAGTTAACCCAATTATAAATTTGATCTTTATAGTTAAAGTTGGTAGATATTCATGCAATTAAATTTACCTTAGCTTTTGTACCCGGTCTATTTCTTCGTAAAATTGTGGAGCCGTCGGCCATCTTCATTTTTGACATTTAATAAATGAAATAAAAAGGAAAGGAGTGAATATAGCAGTGAATAGTAACTGATCATAAACCTCGAAAAAATGATGTGGACTGCGTTTATTATGTACAACCAGCGACTCGCGCCA